ATTCTACTCTGGGAGACTTTGGAAATAATTACTTTGAGGTATAATCTGTAAGATTTGAGAAATTTAAAAATATTTATGAGAGTAAATTGCCTTTATTATTTGGAATGTAGAAATTCTAATTAGAGCAGAATTCATGAGCTTTCTTATTCTTGCTGGTTAAAGACTTATTGACATAAACATTTTCATTACACACACACACACACACACACACACACACACACACATATATATAAGTGTGTGTGTAAATATCTGTAGAGAAAAAGTTAAATGTGTTAAAGTACAAAACATCAAGTATATATATATATGCATGTGTATACATTCATATATATACATATACACACTAAAAGCATAACCAACCTTGAATTGACTTCCTTATTTTCTATTAGTATTAATCACATGAAAATCTATAAAACATTTTTAATCAAATGACATGGCTGATGTTTTGAAAGCACTTAACTCTAGCCTTTTAGAAGGTTAAGACAGGTTGGGGTGTGGCTCAAATGGTAGAATGTTTACCTAGTAAGTTAAGACTAGCTTCATTTTTTTAGGAGAGGAAGTAAATGAATGCTAAAATATTGGTATGTTCCAAAAATATATGCAATTAGTTTGAAAATATAATTTCAATAGTTTCTTCTAAAGCAAGATAATATTATTAAGTTACTGAATAAGGGCAATAAAAAAATTTAAAACTATTTGTCTTTTTAGGCCTGGTACTTTAATATTCTATATTCAACTATTCATGCAAACCCAAATATTCAATAATAATAGAGAGGATAAATTAAATGGTTTTAAGAGCAGCTTAATTTGAGCACTGTACATCTAATGGAAAATACTTTAATTTCATTATTCACTAGAGATGAACCCATGGCTAAAATACATTATTACAGAATAAAATATGTATTAGCCAAAGGAAGTGTTTGAAGAGATTTGATATTCAAGACTGGACCACTTAAAAGAAACAGCAAACATTAAACAACCACTTATCTGAGAAAAAAGGAACTGGGTGGACTTGTTATTTAATCATTGCTGAGCATAGTAGGAAAGAGTCAAAATCAACTTGGTTGGAGTTTGGGATGCGCACAGAAGTAATATGAGAAAGGACTGGAAAGATAAGCTAAACATTCAGGAGTCATATAGAAATCTTACATGACAGAAACACAGAGCAGTAAAGTTATCTGGGCAGGAGATAACTTTATGTGTTATCATAATCACAGCTCTATTTTAAAGAAATTAGCGCATAACAATTAAATATGGCCCTGGATTAGATCCTGATGAGTACAACAGGAAATAGATACAATTGGCAAACTTGATTTAGGTCTCCAGATTATCAGAATTTTTCCAGAGTTCACTTCCTGATGTTGATACATTGTATTACTGTGGTTATGAAGGAAAGTATCCTATGTTTTAAGAAACACACTGATGTTCAAGAGGTAAAGGAACAGCAGAGCTAATATTTTATTTTTAAAGTTTCAGAGAAAAATTTCATGCACACATAGTGGTGGGGAAAAATTAACCAAGTGTGAGAAAATACTAATATATTCAGTATTTGGGTGAAGGGTACATAGGAATTCTTTATTTTTTTAAATTTTGTGGCAATCTGCAACAATGTAAATAAATAGACTATCAATCTGTCCATGACTTAAAATGGTGCAAGAGATGACTACAGTGACAGCTTGGGCAGATGTAGTGACAGTTAACCTCACCGTCATTCTAGAGGGAGATCTGAGAGAACCTACCAGAAGTTTAAATATATACATCTTTCAATTCAGCACCTCCACTCTTAGCATGTGTCTCATACAAATATGCATTCATGCCAAAGATAGTCATTGTAGTACTGTTTTTTCTTCCCTGTCTTATGTTTGTTTCTTTGGTAGTACTAAAGATGGAAGCCATGGTCTTGGGGATGCTAGGCAAACACTACCATTGAGCTACCTCCCCAGCTCTTGCAATACTGTCTTGTAGAAGGAAAATAACTGGCAACCTACATTTCCACATGAAAGGGAGTTCATCCTATGGAACAATATGAGGCAGAAGTTTGCTCTTCTCAGATAGGAAGAACATATTAAAAGGGGAAAAGTAAGAAATTACAAAGTTATACATGAGGTTAAATCCCATTTGTTTTGTTCTAGAATGTAAAATCATCTTTTATATTTAAAAATTAGAGGCTGGAAATGCCTGGATGGGTATAACACCATGGTGCCCCTGGGTCTCGTCTAAGAAGACTGGCTGTACTCAAGTATACTCTACATACGTATGATTGCTTTATAACACATTAACATACTCAAGGATTGTTTGTGTGATTCATAAGGAAGATACGCAAAGTTACTTCCAATGTAAATTGAGTTGTAGTGGAATGAGATTGTAGACTGCTGACAAAGTCTGAGTAGAGTGGGAAACTGAATTAAGATGGGGGTCAGCAGCTAGACATGGTGGCTCACATCTGTAATCCCAGCTACTCAGGAGACAGAAATTGAGAGAACTGTCTTTGAGACCTGTCCAGGCAAAAAGTTAGCAAGACCCCATCTTACAAATAAGATAGCATGGTGGCATGCACGTGTAAACCCAGCTACATAGGAGGCATAGATAGGAAGATCTCAGTCCAAAGCTAATCCTGGACAAATATGCAAAACCTTATAAATAATCAAAGTAAAAAACAGCTGGGACGTGGTTCAACTGATACAGTGCCTGCTCAAGAGGCCCTGAGTTCCAACCCCAGTACCACTCCAAAAAATTAAAAGTAAAATTAAAAAGATGGGGGTTAGCAAGAGTAAGGTGGAAGTAAAAGGAGTAAGATGGAGATATATAGGACTTAGTACTTGAAAGAAAATATACAATGGGAAAAAGGAGAAAAATTCAGTACAGCTCTACAATACCCATGGATTTTATAGAAATAGAAAATGAGAGATCAGGTGTAGCTCAGTGGTAGAGTACTTGCCCAGCATTGCCTAGGACGCTCAAGGCTGTGGGTTCAATCCCCAGCACTGCAACAACAAAACAATGAAAAGAAAATGAACCTACTGATCTGTGAGTACATGGTAATTTTTATTTTGAAGACACTGAGTTTGACGTATCAGGAGACTCCTGCTCGTACATATCTGAAAAATACCCTAGAAATATGAAGGTACAGAAACTGGAGTTGCCTGGGAGTGAAGCGACTGACCCTTGAGAGAAGTGTAATAGACTGGTTGTCATCAGTCAGGAATTGTAATGTTCCACTTGGTCCTGCAATAGTGGTCCATATTTACTTGTGTATGAAAAATTATCTTTAGAAGCTACAATATTGTTTACAGGAAAGAAACTCACTCACATCATTTCAACAAATACATTTCTGTATAGTGAGACCTGTCTTCAATATGGTACATCTTCCACCTAAAGCTCTAGTTAAATTTCCTAGTAAGAATGCAACTGCAAAGATAAAGAAAATTTATTAACAGCAAATATCATTACTACAAATAACATTATACATGATTTAAGTCAATTCTGAGACTTTTTAAACCATAGTTCCATTAAAGTACTATTGCCCAGGGTCTTGGTAGGGTTACATTGTGGCATTTAAAAATTATTCAGATAGGTATGTGTTTTCAACTAGGGGGTGCTGATGGGCTATAAAGGATTAGATTTTATCCCATTAAAAATATCATGACCAGTGAGGTTTTTTTAATTAAAATCTTCAATGGTCTGAATAGCATTGAATTACATATGGTAATTAGCATAAGCAATTATTTTAATACATATTATTGAATTGCCTATTTGGCCAATTGGCTGTTTCAGTTTTGTTCAGCTAGAACAAAACTCTCCAAATAATGAAATACTTCTTTGGTCTATGTTCATGTCATGTGAATTACTAATAATGCCAATTTCAGCTGTGGCAGAAATAAGTAGGTGCATCAGACAGGACAAGTTAGAAAATGGGGATCTTGGAAAATGCAATTTAGTGCTTATTTTTCAGGTTGGAATAAGATCAATGTAAGTAAATCTCAGTTGTCTAGATTTTTAGCAAGAAAGAAAACACAAGTGGAGGTGAATTCTAACATAAGCAAAGATATTATTTACTTAATCTTCAAGTGTTTATAATACCACAAAATATTCAAAAAACAAGTTAACAAAACATTTTAAAATTTATCTGAATTATGTAAGCATTTTAATTAAGTAAAGAAGTTAAAATCCTTTAGTGATTATGGACTTTTGTTTTGCAATTCAAGAATTCAAGTTACTTCTAGTAGTAAGGTATTTATTTATTCTTGGATCTCTAAAAAAGGATGTGAAATCATATATTTATTACGGCATTCCATTTAAAATATGCATAATTCCTTAAGGCACAATGCTTTTTAATATTCTGTATCAACAAAAATGCATGGAAATATATTTATGATTAAGATGTATTAAATAAATTTTTATCCTAAATATGTGATGCATTTATTCTTTGTTTTTATTTTATCAGAAGTCATAATTCAGTATGCTTTTATTTAAATCTAGATTTACCTTCGTTTCAGAAATGCTTACTGTGTTTTATTATCTGGCATTTTGACAACACAGGCAGGTACACTTTAAAATGAGTTTATTTTACACATTAATAATTTTTTGAACTTTATTTCTCAACAAAGCCTGCATAACTATCAGTGATATAGTTCTACATATAAAGTTAAAACAATATGTAATACAACTTTGCTTAGTCTTTGATAATACCACCTAAAATTATACAAGAATAAGATGGCTTTCTTTGAAGTTACAAGGAAGGAAATTTGGAATACCACATACATTAGAATGGTGACCTCACAGGGGTCAGCGTGCAGGTCTTTGTAGTATTGGGATGATATGAATTGTTTGTAGTTGACACTAACTGAAGAGCACTGTTTGAGCAATGCATTTGCTATACATATGTGCATCATCGCTAGAGCACAGACGTCACAGGAGCATGCTGCCATTCACAAGGAAGGTGTTGCATTATACTGCAATCAAATGCCATCCAAAATACAATGTGTTGCAAGGAAATGCAAAAGTTTTCACAGATTGGCATTTATGAACTAGGCTGGTCACAATGAAATGGAATTTCATTTATACAAACGGGAAAGATTTATCATAAATATATAGACCAATATATAACATTGAAGAACAAGAAGCAGAAAGGAAATAATGCTCTTGCATATAGATCAATTCGCTTTGCTGCTGTTGGAATCACAGGTTTGGCTGGGGGAGGCTTCTTATTGTTCTTTGCCTGAGATTTCCCAAGTCCATTGTTGACTGCTATGGGTTTTCCATAGCAGTCATAATTAGATAATTCAAAATCTCTTGGTAAGCTTCCAACAATGCTGAAGTCATTAGATCTCAGATCAGACTTAGAAGTACAAACCTTTTTGCATCTGGTCTCACCAACCTGAAGATTAAAATTAAAAACAGAATGTAATTAGAATTTTTGTATTTATAAAACACATCTCTTTAAAGGAATATTTTTTAAATGACCAGTTTCTACAAGAGTATTTGTTTACTCCACAAAGAACCAAAAGAGGCAACATTCAACTGATTTAAACTATCAGACTGCGTGAAAATTTAGGGCTCTGAGATGTTGCCTAAATAACAGGCTTATGTCACGGAATAACTTTTGATCATTAATTTTATGCTAAGGAAGCAAAATATAATCAACATTTATTTTTGATACTTCCAGGATTGTGAGTTTCCTCAGTTTAAAAACCAAGAAATAAAAATCCATCCTTGGTCATATATGTAACCATAAACAGACAATATTACTACAACGTATGGATTACAGATCACTGATTTCCCTAATGATCCTATTTCCCAATTGGGTTGCTCATAAACAACTGAGACATTAATCCCTCTAATAAGATGGGTTCTGTCTCTATACCATATCCACCAAAAGGAAGTAAAAGGTGACCACAATGGTCATGAACCAAAGGCTTAGTAGTGTAAGGCCTTCCCAACTTGTTGAGTGAAGTTGTATTAAACAACTATACTCAGAAAACACAAATAAAGTATGTCTACTTCAGCTAGACCATGTAGCACAGAGATCAGTCTGTTCCTAATTTCTAAGTTACTGAAATTGAATCCATTTCCTATAAACTATAAAATAATTATTTCCCACTGAACTCTCTCCAGCAATCGGAAATGCTCTTTGCAAGAAGCAGAGGTACGGCTAGCCCCCATACCAAAATGTTTCTCACTGTCCTTGCTATTGGGATTTGTGATTTGCCTTTGAAATCTTCACTGTTAACATTTATTAGGTTTTTACTGAAAAAAAGGAAACCATCTCATTGTATACTGTTTTGTATATTATACTCTGGTTTTTGCTTTCAATGTATAATCAACTAATTCTGTATATTCTATTTATATTTGCTAGATTATGACTAGGTAAATAATATACCTAATGTAATAAAGAGAACAAATTTTATTTCCCATCAGTACTTTAGGTACTGGGAGAATGTCCTTTATTTGAACAAATGCTGATATATTTACTGGGCAAGAGTCAGATGGAATGTTCAGAGGTGGACAGCAAAATCACCCAAGACATGCTGAGTGATAAAGCAAGTTCATCAGAATATGTTCCTCTATCAAACAATGACATTGCACCCACTGTTTGACCTTGGATGTGCTGCTTATCATGATGTGATTATTATGCAATGCACACATGAATCAAAATATCTTCACATTGTGATTCATAAATATGGATAGATATTACGTGTCACTCAAGAAAATTAAACAGTTAATGAAATTTCAAATTAATTGTGATCAATAAAAAGCACATAAAATGCATTAAAATGTTCTATCATTTTACATTTAGGTTATTTCCATTTTTTTAATTTTTACTTTTTTATTATTCCTATGTGCATACAATGCTTGGGTCATTTCTCCCCCCTGCCCCCACCCCCTCACCCCACTTACCACCCACTCTGCCCCTCCCTCTCCCCTCCACCCCCTCGATACCCGGCAGAAACTATTTTGCCCTTATCTCTAATTTTGTTGAAGAGAGAGTATAAGCAGTAATAGGAAGGAACAAGGGTTTTTGCTAGTTGAGATAAGGATAGCTATACAGGGAGTTGACTCACATTAATTTCCTGTGCATGTGTGTTACCTTCTAGGTTAATTCTTTTTGATCTAACCTTTTCTCTAGCTCCTGGTCCCCTTTTCCTATTGGCCTCAGTTGCTTTTAAGGTATCTGCTTTAGTTTCTCTGTGTTGAGGGCGTCTTACCTATCCTCATATCTCCCTTGTGTGTACTCGCTTTTATCTTGTGTTCAAAGTTCAATCCCCTTGTTGTGTTTGCCCTTGATCTAATGTCCGCATATGAGGGAGGAGAACATACGATTTTTGGTCTTTTGGGCCAGGCTAACCTCACTCAGAATGATGTTCTCCAATTCCATCCATTTACCAGCGAATGATAACATTTCGTTCTTCTTCATGGCTGCATAAAATTCCATTATGTATAGATACATTTTCTTGATCCATTCATCAGTAGTGGGGCATCTTGGCTGTTTCCATAACTTGGCTATTGTGAATAGTGCTGCAATAAACACGGGTGTGCTGGTGCCTCTGGAGTAACCTGTGTCACAGTCTTTTGGGTATATCCCCAAGAGTGGTATTGCTGGATCAAATGGTAGATCAATGTCTAGCTTTTTAAGTAGCCTCCAAATTTTTTTCCAGAGTGGTTGTACTAGTTTACATTCCCACCAACAGTGTAAGAGGGTTCCTTTTTCCCCGCATCCTTGCCAACACCTGTTGTTGGTGGTGTTGCTAATGATGGCTATTCTAACAGGGGTGAGGTGGAACATTTGTTGTTATATTTTAGGTTAGTAAACAAGTACTACCTTTATTATTATATACTTATATATCTATATATATCTTATTGGGTAATAATTTTTAAAAAGATGTTTATGTAAATATAATTGTAGAAACATACCCAAAACATGTAGATAAGGAAGAATGGGAATTGAGTTGCTAAAAGTTCACCATTCAGAACCTTTTATAGTCTAGAAAAATATCTGGCAGAAAACAGACTGGTTAAGGGAGTGAGAAAGGGAGCAAATGTAGCAACTAATACCTAAATTCTTTAAATGTGACTTTGGGAAACACACAATCAGGTATTTTTTTCCAGACACCCATTCCCTGTCTCATTTAAGTTATTCAAAACAAAGAAGACCTCTGGCTTCTGTGATACATAGGAAGTATGACTTCTTATCACTTATTTTTATTTTGGGTATTTACTATAGATCTAGGGTATGTACTATAGAAATACACTTACCATAAGTCACATTTTTACATAGGATTTTTGCGTCTCTAAATAAGTGAAATGTGACCAAATTTATATGGTATTGTAACATAAGTCATACCGGAATATTTCAACTTTTCTAATCTATTTTATTTATATGGCCAGACTCTTAGATTCTGCAGCAATTTTATAAATTTTAGGCTGTTATCTATCTAACTTATTAAATTGTAGATACAGAATTTTTATTCAGAGAAATTATTTCAATAAAAGAAATGTCAGTATGAGAATAACTTCTCTCATGTTAAAACCATAATATACAAAAGCATTCCAAAAAATATTCCAGTTGGTTTTTAGACATTTAATTCATTAGAACCCTTATGAGATATTTTGGAGGGTTCTTATAGTCAAAATGAGTAAAGTGGCACACATGTGTATGTGCACATGTTGGTGAAGAGAAGTACTTCTTAATGATACAATATGAGAATAAGATCAGGTTTCCTGTTGTAAAGAGTCCTCAAGTGTTCTTAAATAAATCATGATTTATTAAGTAAATTGGCTGGGCATTTTTTGCTCCATTGTATATTACACATACAAAACTTTGTTTTAGTTAACACTCTTTAGACCTTATTATCATACCAAATATATACATGAAAGTGAAAAAGTTTATGAGTATCATTTTCAACAGTAATAATATCACATAAGGAATGAAATAAACTGCATAAAATTAGATAATCCTACTAACATGCATCTCTAAAAATAAGTTTGACTATATTAATCTACAATTTATAATTTTTTGATTGTTCCTTAATGTGAATATATATTTCTTATTTACTTTGAGCATATAAACTTATGTCACTTCTGAAAATTAATGGTAATAAAAATGAGGTAGCATGATAATGAAGCTGTCAAGAATGGAGAAATGACAGAAATAAAACCTGCCTAATGCTTCAAACATTTGCCTCCAAGATTTCTTTGTAGTCCTCCCAAATTTGAATCCACACACGCTTAAAATCAAATGATTTTCTGTAATACATCTTGACCTGAAGACCGAGGCATGATTTCATGGTGATAAGGTATCTTACATAGATGATAAAAAAATGTTCGGATGAAATAATCTGCACTTATTTTACCAAATTTAGATCAATCTTTATGTTTTAAAAGCATTACAATAAAGAAGAGGCTAACATTCGTGGATGAGCAGCACCTTTTACCTTTTAACCTATCAAAATTGAGTGCATTGATAACAGTTTCCATTGTCTTTATTCAGCAAACCTTTGTGTATGGCAGGCATGTACGAGGTATTGGGAACGGGTTAGTGCTAACAACAGAGGCCTCAATTGTTTTTGTTGAATGACAAGAGAAATACCTGGTGACCAAATACATCAGTGACCAAACTATTGGCATGGCTGAGAAAGTACCATCTTTTGGGGAAAACACACATTTATGTGTTGACTTGTTTTGGTATGAAAGCCATCAGTTAATCAAAACCACATACTAGAGACTAGATTTTTAAAAATCTTCTCATGTTTATTAACATTCCTTTCCTTAACACGTACAGTATTATTTTTTAAATTAGCCTTTAAGGTTTTCTACAATTCAAATTTCATGTGCTTCCATTAATTGCTATTGTTATTTTGTCTAAAAATAAGAAACATATCACATGATTGAAATTACTTGGCAAAGTTTGTGTTTTGAAAGTCAAAACACATTTGAATAAGTGCATTTTAAATCCAAAACCATAATTGTATTTTTCATAGCAAAATTGTGGATTTAAAAAGGCAACAATTTTAAGTTGTCCATTTTTATGCTCTTTCATTTATTAATATGTAACAATTGCATGAATTTATCAAGTGATAGATTTAATGTACATTAATGTTAACTTACTTTGGGTCTCATATTATCATTTTGAGTCCTATCTCAAGATATAAATATTACATGGGTACAATGTTTATTTTAGAAGGTGAATTTTCTCTAGTAAAGAATAAGACTACTTTAGATATATTTCTAGACATTAAAATTTCTGATTGGTTCTTAAACTCTCCAAAGCATTTCTCTGTGACTTTTGTGGCAAAAGGTCTTAGCAGTTTCAAAATACAGACAAGTGTGTTTCTATTAGCAGATAAAACATGGAAAATTAAAATATAAAAGTTCTTCAGGATGTTGAATCTTTATTCAGTGGGCAATTATTTTAATACTTAAAAGATAAATTAAAAAACAAAATTGAGAATAGTATTTCAAGAATCCTCCTGTCTTCTACACCCATGTTATGTATCTATGTTCAAATAACCTCAGAAATGCTCTCAAAGCTAGTTCTAATTAGTTTCTTTCCATCAATACCCACTTGATGGAATGTATCAAGAAGCCAAGGTCATTTTGCACAATGATGGTCTCCTTCTAGAGAATATCTGAAGTTACTGAAGCCAAATAACATAGCAGAGAATGGAGCAGACTGTGGCATTACTGGAAATCTATAACCTGTTTATCAGGCTTGTTTCCTTTCTTCTTGGGATCTCTGAACCAAGGTTCAAGTTAGAGGGATTAGTGGGCTGGAAACTACTGTAAAAGACAAGAAGATGTCAGTGGAGCTTTTGGTTACCTGAGACACAAAACTAGGGAGTGAACACTTCTATGTAAGTGTCTCAGCTATACCTCCTTGCATTTCTGGCAGAAGGAACTTAACTTTCTCAGTACTTTTGGCTTCTTAGGCTTTGGTGGTGACAGGAACTAAAGTAAAATCCTGGGAGAGGGAATTATAATTTCTCTGAAAGAGTGTTTTTCTGCTGTAGAATTAAAATAAGGCTGAAATGGCTCTGTAGACAGTGTAATCCTAACATTAGTAACAGTGTTAGAGAAGGACATGGTGGTATATGCCTGTAACCACAGCACTCAGGAGACTGAGAAAGGAGGATAACAAGTTTGAGACAAGTCTGGGCTACATAGTGATACTGTGTCTCAAAAATCAAAACAAAAAAGTGTAAAGAAGCACACTAATCCATCTATTTAATTATCAGAATGTGGTAGGCTGGGTAAAGGCACAATGAGGATCCTGACGGTCTTGTAAAGCATAAGGCACCCGCTTCCAAGAAGTGGGAAAAGACGTAACTTTCCTTTCCTTCTGCTCAGTTCAGTGGAAAACTTGGGCATTAAATTTAAAAGAAGTAGAAGAGAAGGAGGAGGAGGAAGGGGGCGATTAGTGGGTTAGAAATGTGAGAAAACAGTAAAATACAGAAAGATGTCAATAGAGTGGTAGGTAGCTAGAGTTAGCAAGAGAGAGAGGAAGAGTGGGGAGAGAAGAATGAGAAGAGGAGGAGTAGGGGAGGAGGAGGAGGAGAAGGAAGAGGAGGAAGAGGAAGACTATGACTATGAAAGGTGGAGAAAAGGAGGCAGACCCCTGGGGAACTTAGAACCCAAAGAGTCACAGAGAGGTGATTTTCTCCATTTCCTTTTGGCCTCACATATTCCAGATTTAGAGCTGAAGAAGGTGGCAAGTGGAAATCCCAATGGGTTCACAGATAGCCTGCTCTGTTCTAGCTAGAGGGCAAAGACATGAGCATCGATAGAGAAAACTTTAAGACAACAATCTCTCTAATGCAGTCAAATACCACAGAAAAAATTCTGGCCCCAATCCATCATATGCCAGCAAATGATGAGAGGGTAGCAGAGCTCAAAATGGAATTCTAATAACTTTTAAGTAACCTACACAAAAGCAGAAAAAGCAAAAATCATAACAAACAGAAAAATAAAAAGCAGAATGAAGCCTCAATGTATCAATAATTATAATAAATGTACATGAGCTAAATATACCAATCGAAACAAAAGAGTGACAGAGTAAAAACATAACAGTTAGTTACTAACTGTGGGTACAGATTCCTTGTAGACCAGCCATTCCATAAGTAAGACATATCCGATAGGAATCTTTCTGACTCAATGGAACAGGTGAGTAATTTAATTAATACCATGCTTATCTCAGTGCTAACAGAAGTCCTAGAGGTCTTCTGGCCTACCATATGAAAAGCAGCAGGGAGGCCTGTGTTCAGACAAGATCTCCTAGTTCAATGATGACTAGCACAGCAAAACTGTGTCATTAATCCCAGTAGAAAGGCCTCAAAAATTTTAATAAGACATTCATTTTTTCTAGATTAGAATTTAACGTAACTATTTTGAATGTCTTCTAAAAGGCATATTTCCTGAAAAGTATGTTACACTCCATTCCTTTTCACCTGTGGGAGAAAAACAAGTAAATGCCAATTGTATCCAATTTTTATATACACAGAACAATATCTTTCTCCTGACATGGAAGAGAAGATGGGCAAAGACATTTCCATGGATGATTTCACTCTTCTCTCTCTCTCTCCCCATGTATCTTACCTGCAAAGTGCTAATGTGAACAGGAGTCCCTGTACCATTCACCGTATTCTTTTTAGCTGCATTTCCACCCTTTCCATCTGCTTGCTCAGCTTTAGCAATCCTGGCCTTTTCTGCTTCAACTCTTTTGGGGTTGTTCAACATCACCTGGACAACAGCATACTCCACGAGGGAAGCAAACCCGAAGAGAAGACAAGCAATGAGCCACACGTCGAGTGCCTTCACATAGGACACTTTGGGAAGCTCAGCAGCTAGGGTGGTGCACTCAGAGGCCAAGCTGAGCACTGAGAAGATCCCTAGAAAGACAGAGAGAAATCAAATTTGTTCTTCTATCCCTATGAAATGCTCTCTAGTCATTGCTCTTTCACTATATTCCTCTCCAGTAACTTTCAATGGACCATAAACAATGTATTAGGTCTCTTTAAAGCTCAAAGACTAGAAGAAGTAATAGAGACATGATTTTTTAATGTGAAAATCATTGATTATGGCTGTGGGATGTTTTTAAATACTTATCACTAAAAAATAAATAAAAATGTAAACCAAGGTTTGACAATACAATGTGGGTACAGTTAAATGGTAAAGATATCTAAAACTATTCCATAGCTTCTCCAAGGAGGCCATAGTGCTCTCTGATAAGAGGTGATTATTTCACTTTTCAGTTTTGTTCTACAGAGATTTTAGTTGTAGAAGGAATTCACATCTATGAACAACTAAACCTGAATAAGAATAGAGCATATAAAGCAATTTTGATACAAATTATTTTCATAATAAAAAATTTGATAGTGGCAATAAAGTAGAGAACACTCCTGATTATTTCCCAAAAGACACATGACCCCAGTTTTTCAAAGAAAGGAGTAAAATTATGCTGTATATAATAGTAACTGTATATGGAAAGCTAACATAGTATGTGTCAATTGAAGTAAGGTAATTAAGAGTAAGGTAGTAAGACACCAATTTAAGTAAAGCAATTATAAAATTCCAAGGAAAAACTGCAATGGGATTTTTTCTCTTCCCACTTGCCACCCTCCTTCCTACTTTCCCTTCTCTCTTTCTCCCTTCCTTCACATTTTCAGGAGAGGTGATGGTGAGAGATGACTTGATGGCATAGTCTTTCAAAAGGAATATTACATAGCATCTGGGGTAGACTCGCATTACATAAAGAAGGTAACAGGTTTGAACTGGCTCTGTGCACGCTTACTGGCATGAATTTTTTTTTTTTTTTGGCTTGGATTTGACCACCTCTCAAGAATTACTAAATACATCATCCTAATAATTAAAGGCTCATTTGGGTGTCTCTTTTTATTTCCTTTGATGGCATAGGTACTATGTTATCAGTATTAATCAGTTGAAACACTAAAAATTTTATTCTATCAATTATCTAATTTCTAAAGCTTCTGAACAGTCTCAAGTATTTTTTAAAAAGTTGTTGAAGAGAGTAAAATAGTCTCTGCTTTTGGCAAAATATTAATGATTTCTGGAGATAGAAACAATATTAGGTTTATAATGACTTGCTAAACATCTAATTTACTATTGTGGGAATTACCCCTGTCCTGAGGAAAAACTAATAATGAAGTAATAGAATTATTCATCTCAGAGATTGAACAATCAATCCTAAAGTTCATTTGGAAGCACAAAAGACCACGAATAGTTAAGGCAACACTGAGCAAAAATATCAGTGCTGGAGATGTCACAATACCCAACTACAGATCCATAGCAAAAACAGACATGAAGACCAGTGGAACAGAATAGAAGATCCAGATCTGAACCCAACAGCTACCCTCACCTGATTTTTCACAAAGCCTCTTCAACAAATGTTGCTGGGAAAACTGGATATCTGCATACAGAAAACTGAAACTAGATCCATGTCTGTCACCGTGTACAAGTATCAACTCCAAGTGGATTCAGGACCTTAATATAAGAACTAAAACTTTGAAGGTAGTGCAGGAAAGAGCAGGGAATACACTGGAATTAATAAGCATAGGCAATGACTTCCTCAATAGAACTCAAATAGCTCACAACTAAGAGAAAGAAATGACAAATGGGACTACATGAAGTTAAAAAGCCTCTGCACAACAAAAGAAATGGTTTCAACTAAAGAAGCTATCCTCACAATGAGAGAAATTCTTTATCGGCTATGTATCTGACAACGGATGGATAACCAGAATATACAGGGAGGTCAAAAAACTAAACTCCCCAAAAAATCAATGACCCAATGAAGAAATGGGCAAATGAACTGATCAGAGCTTTTTCAAAGAAAGAAGTCCAAATGGCTATAAAACACATGAAAAAATGCTCACCATCTCTGAGCATAAAGGAAATGCAAATCAAAACCACATTAAGATTCCACCTCACTCGAGTTAGAATGGCTACCACCAAGAGCACAAACAACAACAAATGTTGGTGAGGATGTGAGGAAAAAGCAACCCCATACACTGCTGGTAGGAATGTAAATTAGTACAAGCACTATGGAAAACAGTATGGAGGCTCCTCAAAAAACTAAATATAGAACTGCCATATGATCCTGCAATACCACCCCTAGGGATATACCCAAAGAAACAAGCATCAGGTTACAATAAAGGCACCTGAACATCCATGTTTACTGCAGCATTATTCACAATAGCTAAGCTATTAATTAGCCAAGATGCCCCATTACTGATGAATGTATTAAGAAAATGTGATTTTTATATACAACAGATTTTTATTCATTTACAAAGAATGAAATTTTGTCATTTGGAGGAAAATGGATAGAACTGGAGAATATCATTTTAAGTGAAGTTATCCATGTTCAGAAGGTGGAAAATAGACAATACAAATTCAGCAATACTATGAAAAATAGGTCACACTAAAGGGAGGTTATCTACAAGAAGGGGAGGATAAAAGAAGGAAGTTAAGAAGGTGAATATGTTTGATGTACTTTCTATACAAGAATGAATACAGAATTTTTTAATTGGTTGAAAGCACTATAAGAAAGAGGCTAAGGTAGAAAGAAGAAAGATAGAGGAGATGAACCAAATCAAGCTATAATACGTATAAACATAGAAGTGATACAAGGAAACTCCCTGTGTAGGTATCTTAAAAAACAAAAAATGTCATTTTTTTTTCTTATACAAAATTGAAAACAGGAGGGTGGAACAGGTCCTGCCAGGGGAATTGGTATTGGTGGGAGAGGGGAGGAGGAGGAGAAATGGTGAAGGAAGGTGAATATGGTGCAAATACTGTATATAAGTGTATGCAAATGAATAATGATATCTGTTCAAACTATTCTTGGAATGAGGGGGATGAAGGAGAATGGTGGAGGGGGTGAATGCAAGTATGATACATTTCATATATTGTAAGAATTTCTGCACAAAGTACAAGCTCAACAACAACAACAAAAATTCAGAGCCCTCCTTCAAAAAAAAAAAAAAAAACCACAACAAAAAAAAAGCCAGGCCTTGCTTACTAAGACAGACTACATGGTACTGTACATTTATTGATCACTCAAAATGGATCAAATCTTAGTAAGCCTATTTGTATACCTGAGTATTTATTCTAATATATTAGAAACTTTATGATGAAACAAAGAGTAGATAACAGAAGGTCCTAAAAGCCCTTTACTGGATTTTATACTACATTTGATTGGGACTATTGAGAAATGTCATGTTAATGGAGAGATAAAAAAACTAAAGTAAATAGAAAAGAAATCATAAATATAAGAGCTGAAGTCAATGAAAAAGAAAATAGAAAAGAAATGAAATCAAAACTGATATTTTGGAAATTTTGTTAAAATTAACAGTTTTTGGCTGGAGTGATCAAGAAAAAGGAGAAAATTGGAAATTTTGCAGTATCAGGAATGAAAGATGTACCTCACAACAGTCAGACATTAAAAAGAAAAAGGAGTTTGTGAATGCTTCTGTGCTAATTATGTGAAAATCATCTAATATCTAGAAATCAATTGGTATATATCACTAAATAAGAAAGGTAACTCATAAAAATGTAAATATATGCAAAAAAGCTCCTGACAATATTCAGCTAAGCAGTATAAAAGCCCCAAAAAACATCCATTATAAAAGCCTTCAGCAGAGTACACAAAGGAAACTTTCTCATTCTTACAAAGACATCTATGGAAACTTGACATCATCACATAACCTAATATATTAAAATCAACAATGAGTGGCTCAAATATGAAAAACAGGTCATGCTAAGGGGAGGTCACTAACAGGAGTGGGAGGGTAAAAGAAGGATGTTTAGAGGTGAATATGGGTGATGTACTTCCCATACAAGAATGAATATAGAATTTTTAAGCCTACTGAAATCACCATAGGAAGGGGACTAAAGTAGAAAGGAGAAAAAGGAGAGGTTGAACCAATTTGGGTTATAATGTATATACATACATACATGGAAATGTCACAAGAAAGCTCCCTTTATAGCTATTACATGCAAACACAAATGTCTTTTATCAAAAACAGAGAACAGGGATGTAAAACAGGTCCTGTCTGGTGATTGGCACCATTGGGAGGGGGGAGGATGCAGGTACAGAGTGTAGAAGGGTGAATATGGTAGAAATATTACATACTCATCTGTGAAAATGGAAAAATGAGACCTTTCTAAACTGTTCCAGGAACAGGGGGAGAGGGGATAAAGAATGATGGAGGGGGTAAATTCAACGATGATGTATTGTAAGAACTTTGGTAAATGTTACATTGTACCCCCAGTGTAACATTAATAAAAAATAAAAACAATAATAAACAAAAAACCAATGAGTAACTCATGTATTTCTTTCTAGATTCAGGAGCAACGCATCATTACACTAGAGCTTAGGCACTACAATAAGGCAAGAAAACCAAGTGATGATGAGGATATGAAAAACCACTCAAAAGGGTGAAAACTGAGAATACCACTTTGATGAGGAGTGTGGCAATACTACACTAAAGTAAACACAGTTTTACCATGAAATCCCAAAATATTATTATGAGAGGTTTGTCCAGGAGGAATGAAAACAGAGACCTGTACACAATTATGCATAGTGATCCTGTTCACAATAGCTTGAAACTAGAATCAACCCAAATATCCATCAATTCTTCATTGAAAAACAAACTGTGATGTTATCCATATTATGGAAAACCACTTAGTAAAAAGATGGAAACAAACAGCAATGTGTGCATCAACAAACTCAAAACTAAGCACATCCTCTCGTTTTCCACTAAGGAGTGTGGCTAGAGCTAAATATGGCAAGAGCTCACTGGTCTCACTGGAGAACTGTCTCCCTGCTATTACCACCCCCAAATTGTAATCATTGTCCTCAAGAAGTCTACAATCCTGCCCGCTACCACACAATCATACTCTGTTTCCCTTTTGTTTTGTTTTTCAGTTCTGGGGATGGAACCCACGGCCTTGTATATGCTATGTCAGTGCTCTACCACTGAGCTACACCACTGCCTAACGATTTGCTCCTTTCTCTTTGTTTTCACACCTATAACATGCCACTCCATCTCACTTGCAACTCATGACCTTACTTCTTATTCTACTGAGAAAACAAAAGCAATTTAAGCCCCCATCACCACATCTACCTACCTACCTCTGTCTGCACCCATATTTTCTACCTTTTTCCCTAATCTTACAGACCTAGGATCAGTAGACCCTGACTTGTTGGCCAAACCTGGTCCAGCACCCATTCTTACAGATAAAGTTTTACTGGAACACATCTACATTCTTTCAGTTATGCACTACCTATGGCTGCCTTGGCATTACGCCAGTAGAGCTCAGTAATAGGCAGATAACACGCATTCCACAGATCTAAAGTATTTACTATCTGGCCACTGACAGGACATTGCTGATCCTGGCCTCAAGCTCCTTCCAGGATCTCATCCCTTGTACTTTCTCAAGGATGTTGTTCCTATCTTTTTTCATCTCTCAGATTTTCTTTCACTACTGTTCCATCAAAAATAGACATTCTAGGGCTGGTGAAGTGGCTCAAGTAGTAAGAGCTTCTGCCTAGCAAGTATAAAGCCCTGAGTTCAAACCCAAGAGCCACCAAAAAAAACCCAAAACACTATTATTTTGTTATTTTAAAGCATACATAAAAAAATGTCATATTGTATGTTATAGACATGTATAAATATTGCGTGTCAATTGAAAAAACTGAAAATCAATATAAAACCCCTTATGTAGGCCCTGTTCCCACTCTAGTTTTTTGACTTTTTTTTAATCTTCCCACAACTAACAATCACTAATGTGATTATTATTCTGCCTACACAGAATGCCTCTAGTTCTCCTCCTGCTTTCTAGAAGCCATTCCAATCAGGCTTTCCCCTCCTGGTTTTCTTCTCCTCACACCATGGAAACCATGGGCAGGAAGGATGTCTCTGGCTTCTTTAATCCAATGACAGTTCTTAGTGTTAAAGCTTGATCTGTTGGTGGTGCACTGAGCACTTCCTCACCTAGAAACACCTATCCATACAGGTTATTTCTCATTTCCTTTAACCTTCTCAGAAGGTGACATCTCTTCCTATACTCATCCCCCAGTGATTTCTTTCTCTTTCATTATACTAAAGACATCTGTATTCTGACAGATCTTAACTTCTTGCTCTAGCTCTAAGTTCTCCAAAAAACCTAAACCTGGATATTTGACTGCCTTTTGGATACTTCTATACCACAGATACCTCAAAGTCTAAAGGAGATGCCTGGCCTGTTCACTATCTCAAACCCAATTTACCTAAACCAGTTCCCACCTCAGTGAATGTTAATATTATTTCTCCAGTATTACAGTCAAAAGAAAACCCTTAAAGTTAACTCTACTTTCCTAAATCACACATCCAACACACCTGTACATGTTCTTCATCTCCACCTTAACTGCGACCCACCATGTAATACGTGCTTGCATCTGTACTACTTCCCTCTAGCCCACAACAGGATTATTTAACCAGGTTATTGCAGAAGCCCCTTTGCTTCTGCCCTTGCCCTGGTCATTCTGTCCTCAACAAAGTAGGAAATGATTAAAATTAAAAATTGGCTAAAATTGGAGCATGGTCATACTTTACAGCACCCAAGACTCCATACTTCACTCTGAATAAGAGTACCACGTGGAGAACTTATTAAGTGTATCACTTAAATTTAAATCACTGCACGATTACAAGACATTTCAAATAGAAAAAATGATTACTTGGATTATTTGATATTTTGACCAATCTAAAAATTCAAATATAGGGGACTTTTTAGCTTTTGCTTCAAATTTATCAGCTGTCATTGTCCTCATTATAGATACATAACATCTTTGTGGTTCCAATTAAATGTAAGTCAACAAACTATTTTATTTATTTTTCTATTTGATCACTATGTAGCCTGGGCTGGCCTAGAACTCACAATCATGAGCATTTGAAATGCTGGGATCACAGATATGTACCACCATTCAGATAAAACTGACATTTTCATTGCTTCTTTCTTTGTTTCTGCTCTTTAAGTCTGTATTTAATTTAATTCCTCCAGTAAGTCCAAAGTAAGATGTGTACAAGGCCTTTTCTGATGGAGAAAGAATTCAAATATAGCAACCAAACACTCACTGAGAAGCTGCTGTATCAGCCTTACCTATGTAATCATCCAGGTGATATTCAGGAACCACATATAGTGAAGCAAAAAGTTCAAAACACACCAACGCAATAAAAATTTGATGACACAATGTCCATATTTTAACATTCATTCATTATCCTTAGGAAGAGCTCTTGCTCATTTCCTCAAATAAATACATTTCCCCCCAGTGCTGGGATCAAACCAAAGATCTCACACATGCTAGGTAAGTGCTTTGCCACTGAGCTACATCCCTGACTTGAGCAAAGACTTTTGAATTCCTAGATGGACACAACTTTCAAAAGACTCACAAATGGTGCTTTTGTGTCACTGAGAATTAAAAAAATAAATTGGAGAACACAGGCATTAAAAGGAGAAATAATCAGTCCTAAAATGATGCTAAGTAACACTTTAAAAGATAAATTACATTACTATCATCATATGTCACTTAATGATGGTTTTTTTCTTAGACATTCATTATTAGGTGACTTTGTCATTGTGTGATTATAACATAATATATTTATGCAAATTTGTATGGAATAGCCTACTTTACACCTGGGCTATATGGTATATACCATGTATATGTAGTCAGTCATTGAGTGGAAACATTATATGGTGTGTTACACTATTCTCTTAGAGAATGGGATGGATATAATATTATTTGGAAATATTTCCATCGAAATAGTTACTTATCTTTAACTTTTACACTACTGGAAATTTTTAATGATAGAAAAGTAGAATAGATTCAGTGCTGAAAACGCCTTGAGGACAGGAAAAGAAAAACTTACCAAGTTCATAAACATTGAGAAAATCTAGTTCATAGCAAATATTGAAGGAAGCCCCCTCCAAAAGTTAGGCTGCCATCAATTCCAAAATTCATTATTTCAAAATAGTTAATTATATTATTAGTTATCTAAAGATTCAGGTTGAGTAACCCTTATCTGAAATGCTTATGACCAAATATATTTCAGATTTCCTAATTTTTTAGTTTTGGGATATTTACGTGTATATTATATCCTATTTGGAGGGTATGACTCAAGCTTAAGCAAAAAATTCATTTATATTTCATATATCCCTTGTGCACATGGCCTTAAGAATATTTTATACAATATTTTTAATGCACCTTCATTTTGACTGTGACCTGTCACATGAAGCCAGGTATGGAATATTCCATTTACAGTATCATGTCATAGCTCAAAGAGTTTTGGGCTTTGGTCAATTTTGGATTTCAGACTTTCAGATTAGGGATGCACAACCTGCATAGCACCGCCCTAAGATGAGGGAAAGCACAGAGCACCTTACCCAGGGGCACTCTGGCAGCGCTGGCATCTGGGTTGATCCAGAAGGAAAGCCAGGAAAGAACCACAATCAGCAAGGTTGGGGCATAAACACCCATCATGTAGAACCCAACCTGTCTTCTCAGGGTGAAGATGACCTCCACACATGTGTAGTAACCTTTCAGAAACAGACACAGCACAGGTGTGAGCTCCTGTTCCCCCATAATCGGTCAGATACTTTCATTTGAGGCAATTTCACAAAGTCAACACCACAAAGAGGTTTCTTCTTTAAACACACATAATTTATGTGATCCCAAAAGCATGACATTATGGAGCCTGCTGCAGCTGACCTTTGCACTACATTATGACTTTGAGAATAGATCCCACATGCTGCTCCCCTGTCAGGATTGAGGCTGGTCAGTCTGTGCAGAGAATTTGAAACTGAGTTAATTTTCCCTTACCAGAGGCCACTCTCAGGACAAATGCACTATGGGAGTAACCCGGGGAGAGGTAAATCAAAACAGAACAAGTCTAAAAGGAAACCCACTTGGACCTATACATTGTCAGAATAATTTTTTAGCAACATGTACAACTTTTTATGGATACAGAACGGCAGTCTACAATAGATCCAGTGTATAGTTAAATCTTAAAAATTCAAGCAAGGACTGGAAATGAACATTAGCAAAGGCAAGTCTTCAGAGTTTTCAGTGTGTGTACACAAAAATTTGCAGTGGGAAAACACCTTGTATTCCTCTCCATTCCTGCACACCAGGCCCTCAAATGTTCTCTAGTAGGGGAACATTTCCGCATGCTGAGACAAATGCAAAACTGCTTTGAAACATAATTATCGAACTGTCATGACAACAAGTACTCCCCAAATTAATCATGAATTATACACAGCTTTATGATAGTCTTGCACCTTGAGGGAAAAAACAAGTGATCATATATCCTCATACCACTCCACTTAATCAGAAGAGAAATTTCCAGATGTTGGAGATTTTTTTAAAAATGTTTTGGTCCTTTTGGTTATAATTTAGATATAATATTTCATACTTAAAATGCTTAATTTAGATGAGCATGCCATTTACAATTTAACAAACATAAGATAATACACAAATCCAAAAGGTTAAAATATCTCCAACTGATTTCAGCTTAAGCTGCTCATAATTATTTTAAAATATTGAAACAAAGAAATGAATGAACAATGAATAAGGGAACCAATTATGGAGGAAAAGATGATATGAAATTTTACCACCTTATAGTTAAAAATAATATTTGCCTAGTCTTCCTAATTGGGATAAATACATATACTTCTGACACAGGAATCATGTTCAAATTTATTTAGTACAGTAGCTAGAGCAATATTCGCACACAATAGCATCTTAATAAATGTCAACTAAAGGAAAGTTGTTATCCTCATAACTTAGATAAGAAAAAATATCCTTTTCCCAATGTGAACATAATCATTGCTGCCTCTGAGAAATTAGAAAATAATAAAGCTAATATGTAACCAAAATTAATATTTGATTGGAACAGAATTAATTCCTAATTATGTCAAGTGCTTCCATGTTATATCAAAAACAAAAATGCAAAGTTTCTGTTTCAATTTTTTAACTTCACTGAAACTAGGCAATATATTAAGTCCTTCACAGGTCATAGGCTTTGTAAGATAGAAAAACAAACCAATGAAAAGTTTCCCTTCCTTCTCTGTTCCCCTCTGCTCATTTTAACCTCCTACCCCCAAAAAGGAACACAAGCTTCTAACTAACACTCATGTGGAATAATTTGAAAGTATAATCTTTTGTACATACAACTGCTGCAATTAAGAAGCACACAATATTTCCTAAAAGAGTGATTCCAAAGTAACTTGTTTTATAACAGTATCATTTATTCAGGTAAATTTTACACCCACCCACTGCATATGAAATGGAGACCAATATGTTTGTGCCTTTAAATGTACTATTTTAGACAGATTCAGTTGTGACAAATATTTTAACAACAGTGTTTAAATGACAACCTAAGTAATGCAAGTCCTGTGTTTTGAAGCAATTTCCTCTCATATACCCTTTATGAAGGTGCCCACTAGGGCAGATTTCCCAGCTGTTGATGCATTCGGTAGTAAAATATACATTTGACATTATGGTGATTTGCTCCATAAACTTTTATGAGGAATGTTTCTTAATTTTTTTCATCTTTCCCTAGTACTGTTGCATTTATGAGAGGCAGGTGGGCAGCTAATTGATATAAATGTTCATTGGACAAGTTCAATTCACATTCTATTTCCTGTGAGGTTTTATTTCATTATTCATGCAAGCTTCCAGTTTAAGTATTTTTATGTACTCATTTCCCCATATATTTCTCCAACTTTGTTATTTCACTAATAGAAAAGCATAATTTTAATAATGTTAAAGCTGAGTCATTATTTCTGTACAAATTTTAACAAATATTAACCACATTTTATATATATATATATTATTCTATTATACCTTTCTTTCATTGTACATCATTCAGCATTCCATACATTTTGGTGACCTATTTTTATAAATAGGTCTCGAAAATATTATCCAATTTAAAATACATGTACTCAATACATATAATACATAAATTATATGTAATTTATGTAAATTTATGTAAATATAAAGTACCTGAACTAGAAAGTACCAAAAATGTTAATCATAAGATTTTTTGCTATTTTATATAGCTAATGAGACTTGTGTCTTATTTATGATGAATTAAAAACACCACAAATATTTTGCTTATATTTCTTGAGTAATCCTCCAAATTCTTTCTACTACAGCATGCCCTCTTAGTAGTTCCAAGAACTAAAATGAATACTTACTTCATTTATTTATTTAACAAGATAGAATATGGCTATATAAAGAGTAGGAACCTATCTTTTATTCACTACTGAGTTGCTATATGGAGATTTAAAAGCAGATATGAAAGTAAAAAAATGAATGCTTCCAGGATTTCTAATACTATTGAATAATTTTGTGATATGACACTCAATTGTGAATAAAACTGCTAGTTTTATTTTCATCTCTAAATAAAGTTAAAATTTCCAAATAATCTTTTTTCAGTTTTCTCAAAACAATTTAGATAGTCCATTTTGACATGTTAAGCTTATGATCTGGATGCTGCTAACTATTTTTAAATTATAACAGGACTCTACAGGCAATGTAACAACATCAACTTCCATATTCTGGCCCTTCACATTGTGACAATATCACTTTAACCAACCATCTTTGCTCAATTATCCTAATGTGTCAAGTGAAAATAATAAAATATTTAGCTCAAAGGATTGTTATATGATAAAATTATATAATTCCCAGTTAAAGCATTTAATGTCTTGTATAGCAAGAGCTCAAAAAAGCTATGTAATAAATATGTGCTACCACGAAAAATTCCCAAAAGAATTTTCTGGTTTGTTGTACTAGATAAGTCATAAAAATCTCTCAACACTGTAGTCCTCTTAATCTGAATGGTGTCTGGCGGATAAAGAACTACTAAGCCTAGACCCATCACGGACAATAACCTGCCCAGTGATGTTCAGTAAACCATGCGGTCAGCCTACACTTCAGTTAATTTATGTATTCCATGAAGGAGCAGCTAGTTCAGAACTATCTGTCAGATCACTCCTTAACTAACCATCTACACATCCACAGCTTCTGTATTGAATATAAGCTTATAGCCAAATTTTTAAGCGCTTTCTGGTTTTACTTTTTAAAACAGTAATTTTTTAGCAATATATCTAATTGTTGTTTCTTTTGTCCTAATGTACTAAAAGCTCTATAAGAAAGAGGATTATTCATCTGTAGTGCCACATAATCTGTCAATGTATTGGAAAGTTAAGAACAAATGTTTAATTCATCCTCAAGGTCTTGTGCTACCTTTATCAAAACACTGCAAATATGCACATGCCCACTCTCTTATTTTAATATCAACAAGAACGTTTTAAATTGTATTTTGTACTTGGTGATACCATGATAGTAGCCTACTGCCTCAAACATCGGATCTCTCTAAATTTTACACAATTATACCACATAATAAAAAAATTTTATTACTGCAAGTCAACATAAATGTTGCCATAAAATTAAACTTTATTTTTACCTATTTCTGAATATCTTTTGTCATGATTTACTTCCTATACAGAATTAGAATTGTATGACAACTTACAAGTTGAACTGATTATTATTACTAGTAATGATAAAAATTCTACACTTTTAAATTTATACTGCTAAATGGAACAACACTATCAACATAATAAACCCTCAATGACCTACAGCTACCAGTGCAGACTCCAAGGTTAAACACTAATCATATTATGATAGCACTGAATAGTGAATACTGCATTTTTCTGCAAAAGCTCAATGTCATTTAATGAACAAGGTTAATGTGCTATGGTTTTCATGATTGGCCGTTTCATGACCCTGGCCAAAAAGACTGTACAGGGACTGTTCACTGATGTCCAATTATCTCACACTCTTATTACTTCCTTCATAGCATCAAGATCAATAGTTTTTAAAATTGACAAAATGGGATAACCACTATCTTAAAACTGCCCCAAAGAAAACAGACTAAATATATATGGATTATGTGGTTCATATACAAAATGTTTAGCCCAAATTGAATCTTCCTAAATGCAGAATGTCTTTGCAACATATAAGAAAATCACTGCCTTGGAGAGTTTGTATTGTTAAAATAAAAAATTAAAAAGATCTTACCATCAAAATTACATAAAGAGAAGCAACTCTATCTTCTAATCAAAACAGCAAAGTACCTGAGTGAATGTAATTCTGTGAAAGATTTAACATATGAATAAGATAAAATATACAAAACAAATTTTGACTACTTCTCTCCCATTCTTCCCTCAATAGATATTAAGATTAAAATGAACATTCAAATATCTCCTAGCTTTGTTTAATTTAAAATATCACTTACCAGTTCCTTTATAGTATTTTGTACAGTTGCCATATTCAATATCTTCCTTTTTAATATCAAATTGAGGCAAGGCAATTTTTTCTAATTGAACAGGATCCCCTGACTGCCAGATAAATCGTAAATCATCAGTTGTATAACCAACTACAAACAAAAATAAGTAAATAAAAATGTTAGATTGAAATGGTTTTTAATCTTTTTGTATTATTTTAATAATCTTAAGGTAAGAAAACTATGAAACTAAAGTTACAAACGTTCAGAGGTTAAATTTTTGGCCACTCCTAAATATTAGCACAAGAGTTGTGAATAGTCATCTCAAAGGTGGAAAAGTTTAAATATCAGCATATTGCTAATAGTTAAACTTCTGGGGCATCACATATACTAATCCATTTCTCTGCATCCAAATTCTTATCTCTAATTATAATAATAAGTAAGCAATGAGAGCTTTCTGATTATAAACATTCATAATCATTCAATGCTACCTGAAATAATTTCAAGGCATGTAAGCATTTAAAGGAACCACTTATTTGAAGTAAATAAATAAATTCCCTACAGGAATTGCATCATGATAAAAGAGCAATAAAACTGTTTCTCAAGGGGACATCATAACAGCATCATTTCAGTGTTCTAAAGTACACACACTGGCCTTAGGCACTGTGGCTACAATTCAAGAGGTACAGCACATAGGGTCTACCATTGAACCATAAAGTGCATCTATTTTTAAAATTTATATTTTAAGTACATCTAGCAATATTTAATCTAGTAAATACATAGTTTGAATTTTATAAAAATACATATTGACACACACAAAATATGTAAGAACACAAAATATACATGCATCTACAAAATCTCATTTTAAAGCTAGAACGCAATGAATATTGGTCAAATTTAGGATACATTTCAGCACATTTAAAAAATAACAAATAACCCCAATGTAACACTGAACATATGCTCTAGCAAGCACATAAAATATATTCTACAAGGTTATTATTCTTTACTCTTTGCAGAAATAGGTCATGGTATTTTAAGTATGTAGTCTAAAAAGTCCTATGACATTAGTATTAATTTTTCAAATTTTATGTCCTACTTTTATCTCAGAAAGCATCATATGAACTTAATATGTTTTATGGAAAATTTTAGTTACTACATCTAGTGCAGCTATCAAAAAATGAAAAAAAATCCTCATAGGAACATGAAAAATCCAATTTTGTGAAAAAATGAAAATATTTTTTCTATGAAAAATGAAAATATTTTTCTATAAACTCATAAAAGGGAATACCTGGTTGGATTTGCAGAGTATTTTTTCAACCGTTTTCCAAATTTTCTGCCATAAAAATATGTTTTTAACCTCAGAAAAGTTATTTGAATTAGAATGTCATATTTTTCTTTATCTTTGCTGTATTACTCATTCAAATGAAGTAGGTATTTGGAAAAAGAAGTGGTGACCCACACCAACTAAACTAAAAGCAGACTAGAAAAGGATTTGTCCGTCTCAGTACAACTTGATACAGTAAATGAGTAACTATAATTTCTCTAAAGTTATTCTGACTACGTAAGATAAAAAGCATTAGATTTACTATAGTTATATGAGATACTAGTTGAATGTATTGTCTAGACAGCATTTATTCCCATAATGCCTTATGATCTCATTTACATACAGCTCTCCAGTTGCATTTTGCAACGTTGTGTGTCCATAGGAAACAAGGTCAAGTCCAAAGGGCATGACAGAGTAATAGATAACCTGAAAGCAGAAACAGTGAAATTGGAAGTATTTAATATACATCTCTCTAATTCATTGACTTGAAAAAGAAAATATAAATGTGTAAACTTTAATATAAAATAGCACCTCATGCTGACAAGGACATCTCCATCCCGAAAAATAAAGAGAAGGATATTTTCCTGGGTTACATCATGAAAATTGGCACTTTTTTCATTTGCAAAGAACAGATCGGGTTTCCACAAGCACTTGTACATTGTGGGGTCCACAGTCAGTGCATCTGAGCCCCTGAAATCACTAGGGAGCTTCAACCTGGGATCATTCCATTTTTGTCTCAGGAAGATGTTAACCCTATAGTCCTGGAAAATAAAGAAATGTGCACATGTGTATATTTACTGCTGCTTTTAATTACTTAAAAAAATGTGTGTATGTGTATGTTTGTTGCTATTTCTAAAACCATGTCAGTACCAGTACATAAAGGATTTTTTTATTGTTGTGCTGGGTGGGGAGTACATTGTGGTATTTACAAATGTTCTTACAATAAATCAAATATATAGATAAAGGATTTTAATGATTAGCAGTAAAAAATAGTTTTGTTATTCAAACATCAACCAGGATCGATCACAATACCCATCACTAAATGAGAGCTCCATTTCCTTGATAAAAAAAGATCTCTAATTTCTCTCCACAGATATTCCACAGCACTTGCTAGCTGAAATGTCAGAATATAACTACCATTAACAGCTTTACCTTTATATATGCACCAATAATTCTGATTGATTAGGTTGTAGCACCATAAAAGCAGGAGAACAGCTGCATACTGCCCTGATTCTTCCCCCAAATAGGGTACAATTAACAGCAGAAGGACTGGGCCAGCAGGGTGGCTGCGAGGGCATGGCTGCTGGCCAGTGTGGCTCCATGGCCAGGGACTTTTTAAACAAAAGTCCTCCTCAGAAGTCACAGAGCAGTCCCTGGGTGCAAGGTTGGCCTGTGTGGACCTGCTCTCCCCACCGCAGTCCCCACTGTAAGTCGGCTGTCGGAAGTGCCTGCCTGGACCCCCTCCAACCCTGCAGAGAGGATGCTCACTGACCCAGCAAGGGGGAGGGAGGCTGGCATACCTGGTGTCACGGGCCACTTTGGTTAGGTACACTGGGTCTGGGACTGTGGCTCAAGTGGTTGAGTACCTGCCTAGCAAGAGTAAGCGCAAAGCCCTGAGCTAAAACCCAGTACCAATAAGTTAGGAAGCAGAAGGAACATATTTCTATTTGTCCTTTGTTAAGTAGCAAACAGGAAAAAAGCAAAAATGAATTTTTGTGTGTGGGCTTGCGTGGGCAAGCATAGTAGTCTCATGACATCTACTGGAAATTGGTCCCAGGACTCCCTCTCAATACCAAAATTCAAATACTCAAGACCCCTGTCTAAACTGGCACAGTATTTGCTCATAACCTTTGTAATTCTCCCATATACTTTAAATCACCTCTAAGTTACTCATAATATCTAATACAATGTAACTATCAGGTAAATAGTTGTCAAATAATTGTTTACAGTTTAACTGTAAATAATTGTATCACTTAGTGAAGAGTGCAAATAATTTGCACATGTTCAGTACAGATGCAATGTTTTTCAAATCTCTTCTTTTTTGTTTTGAGATGGAGTCTTGCTATGTAGCCCATGCTGGCCTCCAACTCTAGATCCACCTGCATACTCAAATATTCCTGAAAGTGTTCAAGGCATAAATTATACTGGGTTTCGTTGCCTTCCTTATTTTCAGTAATACAATATTACATAATATGCTCCCTTCAAAGTCTTTTAAGATGATAAAAAAAGATTAGATCATAAACTTACAATTGAAATCCAAATACTTAGTAGGAAAAAATGGTAAATTATTTAATTAAATAAGAAGACAATTAATTGAACTGTAAGACTTAATAAGAAAAAATGAACATGGACTTGTGAAGGAAATAAAGGAGGCCTATAGCCCAGAAAAGGAAGACCTGCATTATGTACCTATATAAACTTGCTGTCAAAATAGGGGGTGGGGGGAGAAATGGCCCAAACAATGTATGTACATATGAATAAATTTAAAAAAAAAAGAAAAAAATGCACACCTATTGTGAAGTTCCTACTAGAGTTGATTAAATGATCATACCCAAATGTGACTGTGATAACTACAAAAATTAACTCAACAATGTCCAAGATAAAAGCTTCTGCCTCAGGTAAAAATGCTTCCAACAGATGCAATGTTGCTTTCTGATAAAACATGTCCTCCATGCAGGTATGCCTGGCTTTCACTTAAGAAGCAATACAAGTCAGGTTAAATCATTTTCTAACAAAATATTACTTAGACTTACTACCTTGTGGTGAAGCACTTAATATTTTCAGTACTGAATAATATTAAATTTCAAATTATTTCTCAAAAACTTTCCCTGAAATGATCTGCCAAAATAATTGGTATTCTAAAATTATATATGCAAAATTATTTACCTTCTCTAGGTGCTATGTTTTATCAAAGTACATCATAAGATAAATACACTTTTAAATTTATGTATTTAAAATATGCATTCATAGTATTATGTCAAACACCATGTTCAGTATAAAAATAGCCAGATAGGGTTGTCTACATATCTTTATGAACTTATTAGTCCCATGTTTCAGTCAATGACACTCACACAAAAATACCTAAGATGGAGTTTTCTTTTTTTATTAGTGCACATTAAGTGTACAAAGGGTTTCACTGTGCTATCTCCATAGATGCATATTATGAACTTTGATCAAATTCACTTCTTCCATTATACTCCCTTTTCCCCACTTTCTCATCCCTTTTTCAAACAGCATTTAGTGGGTTTCATTATGCTACAAAGTTTTCATTATTTATTTATTGTCCAACTTATTTTTCATACATTACAATCATATTATTATGCAGTCATTTACTATGTGCTAAGCATAATTAGTGTAAGCTCTTTACAGAAACTCCTCTGATCATCAGAGTTTATACTGTGAACACATGCTCCTGCTGATGAGAATGCATCCTTTTACTGGAAAATAGGGCTTATGTATCCTGTTAGGCTTTTTTTTTTGTCTGGCAGCTACCAAAGTAAAAGTTAATCCTAGGGCCAACTGTGTTAACAATTCACCTCTGACAAACTCTTGCAATTATCATTGTATGGCACTTGCACATTTACTATTTCAATTAGTTCCCTATATTTGTACTATTGTTATTATATACCTCAAATCCTTTCCAGAAATAAGCATAGATGAAAAACAAATAAAACAACATTCTAGAGGTCATCTTATACTTGAGGAGTCTGTCAGCATTATTTCAGAACAGATATTAGACAACTCTTCCAATATGGCTTCCAAAACAAAGATGCATTATTTTAGCCTACTACTAAGGAAACTGCCAGGTTTCCTTATTTTAATAGAATGTTACATGTACAGAGAGAGAAATGTTAAGACCTCACTTCATTAGTATTCTTTAGACTAACACAATTACCTTGTGGAATATATGCTGATTTGCTTATCGGTAATTAATCTTAAAGACATCAATCATATCAATATTTTATAATAATATTCAAGACATTATCTGGCAAGGATTAAAGCAATGCTAACCTTTAATTAATTTTAGCATATTATGCATAATTAAAAATAAGTCATCTATAACATTTTGGGTTGAAGTTCAGAAATTAATTCTGCATTATACAGAATTCTTCAAATTTTTACACATGTATACATAATTTGGGGAACACAATTCTATGTTCAACCTACTTCAAAGATGGTATGGCTAACTAATATAAATTATACAGCAAATTATTTTTAAAAAGAATCATTATAGCAAATTAGTCTAGTACTCACTAGACAAGCATTCTATCACTTGAGCCATACCCTCACCTTTTTTAGTTATTTTTCAGATAGGATTATGCTTTTGCCTGGGGCACTGTTGCACCAAGATCCTCCTACCTCTGCCTCCTGTGTAGCTTACAGAAGTGAGCCACCCTGCCCAGCTTGTTTGTTGTGAAAGGAGTCTCAATAAATTTTTGCCCTGGATGGCCTTAAACTATGGTCCTCCTATCTCCACCTTCCAAGTATCTGGGATTATAGATACTTCTACTCAGCTCATCACAGGAATTTTAATAGTTTTCTTCCATGTGATTTATTACCTTAAATCTTTCTTGAAGTCTAATCAACATATTCACACACTTCAAGAATACAATTATGTCATTTATGAGCATCCTAAGTTCAAAGTATGTTAATCACCAGAAGGCTACATAGTGCAGATAAAAAAGAAATAGACTGTGCATAGCATCAGGGTCTATGACGAAAGAAAGTTCATCTGTAAGAAAATTCAAAATAATGTTGCTTTAATGTATAGTAAATACTCCTTCTCATTCTATACACACCCTAAATGAATTTTTAAAGATGACATTAACCTAATTTAGAAATCCAAGTCACACAGAGTCAGCATTGGTGAATGTCCTGATTCCTCTCCACTCTGCATTTAGAAGCTTTGGCCCTCAGCCAGCTCCTCAACACCTCTAAGCTCAGCTTCTCAATAGAAAACATGCAAGTATTCAGCCAGCCGCCAGTGGCTCACACTTATTATTCTAGCTACTTGAGATGATGAGATAAGGAGGGATGGAAGACCAGCCTAGGCAAATCATTTGTGAGACACCCATCTCCAAAACAACCAAGGAAAATGGACTGGAGATATGACTCAAGTGGTGTAGAGTGCCTGCTGCCTGCTTTGCCATGAGTTCAAACCCCAGTCCCATATATATATGAAAACTTACACAAGGCAAGCACTTAGAAGAGTTCATTTTATTACATGTACAATTAACATTATTATATGTACAATTAATATTACATGTACTATTAATATTATAATAGTGGAATTACATGTATTTCATTTAAAAAATTCTGATAATGACTTTTGAAAGCTTTCCATTTCTATTATTATCTAGAAGTCTGTATTGGCTCTATTTCACTCTAGGAAATAACTCTGTGCCTTATAGGCATTCTCTTTATCTTGAGGAGTTCTGATTCAAGTCCAAAAACTTTTTAAAATAAATTTTTGTGTATACTTGATGTCAGATGCTAACCATATAGAGATAAACACAGTACAGGACCAGAAAATATATGAGACATCTGGAAGGATCTGTTATTGAAAAATGTAAACTTTTATGGCTAATAGAATAAAATGTGTTATGATTCTAACTAAATGTAATGATGAAACAAGTTCAAAGAGTAATTGGTTTTGCTGTTTTATATTAAACAAGCCTTTCCTTTGTCATTCAATCAAGTGTGGGTGATTCTTTAAGGGCTTCCCAAGTTCAGAGGTCTTAGTCAGCAGTCTGATAGTGAT